ATTCTCCCCCCAGTGTGCACTTGCCAGCCAGCTGTTCTGCCTGTGACTGTAGCAGCAGAATGCTGACCAGAGCACTGAAGGAATATTGATCTTGTTATTGAGACTATTGTTGCTGGGCAGTGCTCCAGTAACTACAAAGCCTTCTATTTTTTCATTGTTGTTAAGGCAATATTCATTCAAAACACATTTGACACAGTTTTCCATTCTATTCCAGCTTCCCTGGTTGAAATTACCTATTTGTGGAACAATGTTAGTCAGTGTAAAAGTAGACCTTTTTTCAATAAGAGTGGATCCATATGAGTTTGGAAATAGATGTCCTCTGTCAAACCCTTGGTTGTTTTTGAAATCTTCATTTCCAGCCTGGTAGTTGTAGATGATGTTTTTGTTTGATTTTCTCATAATGCCTTTGTCTCGTTTGTTTTCAAGCTGTCAAAATGTAAAAAGGGTAAGATAGTGATGAATGTATGGTTACTGCTAAATAAATTAACTGCACAGTTAATATTTTTTCATTTAAAGAAAAGAAAAGAGGACTTAAACCTCGGATAATTTCTGGCTGATAATGCTTGTTTTCATTTACTGAGCAAACTTGGGTTGACACAATTTAAGCTAATTTTAGCCAAACTCATTTAATGTAGGATTAAGGATGTCTTTAGGAAAATACATTGAACGATTCTGAATATCACAATGTAATGGAAAATATCTGTAGATTCCTGATTAGCTACAATTATAGCATGTAAGTAGGACTACACTCTCATAATATTTTATTTTAGTCTAAAATTAATTGTTAGTTTTACTGGTAACTAATATGTGTTATTGCTACTGATACCTGTGGTTCAATCATCCATTTATTCTTGGGCCTCTTGCCTCCAGCTCCCCCTCTGTACTTTGCAGCAGAAAAAACTGGAATCTTGTTCTGGGTGTCGTACAGCGTCACAAATGTTCTGGTGTTATTTAATGTCTGGCGAATCAGTTTGTATCTGTTTTGGTCCAGGATGATCCCTCCCTCCAAAATTCCTGGGATGTGTGGTGGAGTTTGCTGAAGAAAAAACTCCTTACAGTCTTCCACTGATGCCACCACTTTAGTTTCAGTGGGAAAGACGGACAGAAGGAGGAGAGCAGCAAGAGGCAGGAGGTGCTTCGGTAATGACATCGCCAAACACTTGATCATCTGTGCAGAGGAAAATAACAAAAACAATTCTAAAATATTACTCTTAAAGGGAAACAATTATCTTCCTTTAGCTGCTCCATTTAGGGGTTGCCAGTGCAGATCGTCTTTTTTCATCTCACCCTATCCTCAGTATCCTCCTCTGTTGCACCAACTCTCTGTTTGCCCTGGCCTCATTAACATTTTATAAGCCTTTCCAGTCATGCTGCCTCCTTCTCCATCCACTCCACCTTGCCTTCATCGTCTTCTTCATCTTGCTTGTAGACTGTTTACCTTCACTAGCTCTGCTCCTTGTATCTTCACTGTTACATCCGTGTCCCTGTCATTCACAGACATGTATTCTGTTTTCTTTCTACTGAATTTCATCCCTCTTCTCTCCCAAGCATACCTCCACCTCTCCAGGCTCTCTTAAACCTGATGTAACCCCGGCCTTCAACCCATTGGTCGTCCCTGCACTGACCTCACGCATATCCCGCACCACTCTCACATAGTTCCCTACCACTCCTGACTTCCTCCACAGTTTTTATCATAACTCTCTGTAAGCTGCAGTGTTGTTAAAATACATGGTTATTGATTATTAATTGGAATAAATAAATAAACGAAAACAAAAAAAATAACAAGTTGGGCCCATAGGGAGTTTATAGAGTGCCTCTTGGCAAAGTCTAATGTATTTGGAACAACAGTCTTTTCAGATCAGATGGTTCTGCTTACTAAAGCTGAAGAACAAGACAGGCTCAAAATAAATGGTCCCTTGCTATAACGCGCTTCACCTTTCGCGGCTTCGCTGTTTCGCAGAGTTTCTGTGTGCAATTTTGCATGCTTTTTTCTTTTTACAGCGCATTGTGTTCTGCGTCCTGATTGGCTGTAGACCA